GGATAGACAGCTTAAACACCTTTACTTGAGTGCCCAGAACATCTAGTGCTTAACGGTTGTAGCATTATTGCTTGCTGCCTACTTCAGACAGAAGACCTCCTAGTTTCACAGCTCTAAATGTATGTTCTAAACAGAAGGCTATAAAATCAGTTTCCCTCTGCATAAAGAAGAAATTCAGGACCAAAAGGGTACAATTTTAAAAGCCCCAGAGTTCAGATGCACAGTGAGACAGGGTAACGCAGTACAACTTCCGATCTGTGTATCTATATTAAATGACTGCAAACCATGTGGCTACAAATATAAAACACTATGCTTGCTTAGGGCCAAAATGAACATAAAATGTGTTGATTTGGAAGGGACATTAAAGATCATCTCGTTCCAATCCCCTGCCACGGGCAGGGACATCGCCCAGGTTGTTCAAAGCGCCATCCAGCCTGGTCTTGGACACTTCCAGGGATGGGTGATCCACAGCCTCTGTGGGCAGCCTGTGCCGGGACCTCATGCCTCACTTCAGTCAAGTTTTCTTCTTAGTATTTAGTCAAAACTTACTGAGTTCCAGCTTCCAGCTATTCCCTCTTGCATATCATTCGATATGCAATAAATTAATCAAATTGTGTGAAAATAACGTTAACCTGAAGGTCAGAAGGCTCCTGCGGCGCAGCTCCCCGGGAGGTGGGAGCCTCCGCACGCCGCAGTGGAAGCGCTCAGTGCTCTGCTGTGAAACCCGCACTGCGAGCGCCATCTAAGCAGCAGCCGGGGGCGAAGCTCATTTCCACAGCCCCGCGAGGGGCTCCGGGGCCAGCCCATGCCCCCCTCACCAGCCCCGCGGGGCTCCCTCATGAGGGGCTGGCCCCGGGAGGGGATGGAACAAAGCATGGCCGGCCCGTCCAGGGAGGGGATTGTCCCACTCTGCTCCGTGCTGGTGCGGCCTCACTTTGACTCCTGTGTCCAGTGTTGGGCACCACAGTATAAAAAAAGGCATTAAGCTGTTGGAGAGCATCCAAAGGAGCAGCATGAGCATGGCGAGGAGCCCTGAGGAGAAGCTGTATGAGGAGCAGCTGAGGGCACTTGTTCTGTTCAGCTGGAGGAGGCTGAGGGGAGACCTCATTGCTGATAAAATTTCCTCATGATGGGAAGAGGAGGGGCAGGCATTGACCTCTGCTCTCTAGTGACCAGCGACAGGACCAGAGGGGGTGGCCTGAAGCTGTGTTGGGGAGGTTTAGGCTGGATATCAGGAAAAAGTTCTTCACCCAGGGAAATGGTCAAAGCACCAAGCCTGACAGAGCTCAAGAACTCTCTGCTCTGGGGCACAGGGTGGGATTCTTGGGGTGTCCTGTGCAGGGCTTAGAGCTGGACTCGATGATTCCTGTGGGTCCCCTCCAACTGAGAACATGCCATGATAAAGTGAGGAGAAGCCAGCAGAGCAATGCTCTGTAGTGGCCACCATGGCTGTGCCTCAGCCGTAGCTGCTGCAGGTCCCTCAGGAGCACATACACAGTAGGTCAGTCTTGCCTCCTTTTCAGCTTCAATCATTTCAGAGTCACAGCTGGAAGGGACTTTCGGAGATCATCCAGTCCAATCCCCCCCTCGGCCTCTTCCCCAGGAAGGGAGGGTCACCTGGAGCAAATTACACAAGATTTCCACTCAGAGATCCCAGAAACACCGGCTACCCACCCAGCCATTAGCCCTGTGCAGGCCAGGGTAACAGGAGTGGGAAAAATGACACAGTGAAAGAACTGTGAAACACTGGTGAACCACACGTGTTACTTAGAGAGGGTTGTCCTGGCTGCAGACAGAAAAGGAACTGAATCCAAAGAATGCAGGTTGTAAAAGAGGGGGGTTTATCACTTCCCTCTTAATTTGCACTTGGCACTTCATTCCCGTTTTTAACTTGTTCCTATTCCATTATTTCTCACTAGTCTCAGTCACCTAGATCAGGATACTTGACTGGTTCCAGAAAAGCTGAGTAAAAGCTTAGTAATACTGTGCTACCAATGCTTTTACCATTTAGGTTTTACAGTGCTGGATGTGATAACCAATTTCATACATTTGAGATCCTAAGAAACATTTAGCTGCTGATAAGGTCCTAAAATCACACTGCTAAAAGAAATTAGTTAAAACATCTTTTGAATATGTATCATTTGATAATCAAAGGTTGGTTTCTACAGTAGTTAGTCTGTAACATACTGGTATCTATTTTCTGCTTGACACAGAACACTTTTGTCATATTCCCTAAGATAAAGAATATGAATCAATAGAGCATTCAGAACATTTAAAAATGTCATACTTTTTTTGGTATTCTTTACTAAGTTATTTTAATTCTGTCCATGCCTTCTTATTCTTCTACTTATTTTTGCTTCTCTGTTCCCTGTTGTCAAAGGTTTCTTTCATCTCTCCATTTCTGTTGGCTGTGCTTCTAGGACAGTGGCCTTCTTGTGGCCATCTGGACAATTGTACTAATTTGAGCAGCTGCTCCTAAAAATAAGCTGGTCTTGGAGGAATTTATGCCATTTGGACATTTTGATTTTTTAAATCTGTTTTAGTGTTTCATATAACTGAAATTTTTTACCTGAAGCCATTTATTATACTGAGAACTCTTTTTTTTTGGTTGCTTGTTGCTTGATTTTCCTACACGGTGGTGGCTTCTGCTACTTTTTCCCCAGTGTGCCCAGCAGCAGGTGCAAACGGTGCTGGCAGAGCTGTCTGTCAGCAAGAATAAACTGAGCTGTGACAAAGTACAGGTACCTCCCAGCATCCCATTTTCCACCTCAAAAGGGAAACCTGGCTTTTATTAATCTAAGATAAGGTTGTTTAACCTGAGCTCTTTGGTACATCATCTGGAGGGAAGTGCTTATTTATTTTCTCTACTTATTTGTGTAGTGACAAACACATAGAGAGTTCTGCATCAAAATCATCTTCAGTTCTGCTCATACTGCCTTTGGGAGTCAAGATGCATCTCTAGGATCTGGGATAATTGATTTGCTTAATGTGTGAAAATAGCAGAATGGCTGAACCACCAGGGGGCATTAAAACAAAATAGATGGGTAAAAAATGCTTCAAAGATTGAAAACATATGAAACTTTATTAAAAAAAATTACTAATTAATAAGGAGGGAGGCACGTTGTGGTGGTAATGAAAAACAAGCAGGAAGTAAAGCTTTACTTTATGGTGACCTATGTCATAGAATTTGGAACAGTGGTGGAAAGATTTCCACCTTTCTTCAAACAGCACAGAATGCGTAGTGATGATACGGGAGCAAGGGAGCAAGAAAGCTGCAAACAGTCCTGATGGTAGTGACAGTAGGATGTGACCAAGACATTGTACTTAGCTTAAAACTAAGTTAATTGTTATCTTGGAATTATTTCTGTGGGAGGATAAATTAGGAGTGATTCCTGCTTCTCCTGCTATGAGACTCAGAGAAAAGAAAACAGTTGCTCTGGGTAAAGAGACATTGACACTTCCCTTCTGTGTTCCACTTCCAACAATGCTGTTTTGTTTCTACATTAAAAGCAAGCTGAGCTATTTTGTCACATCTTTTTTCTTTAAGACTGAAGTGCAAAAGCTGGATAACAAGATATTAATTGAGCATATGTACCAAGTAACCCTTTCAGTCTCAGCTATAATGCTCTGAAGAGTGAGGTGCACACATGGCCTTTTCAACTAAGTAAAATTAAATGGCATTTATCATACTTTAAAAGAACAAAAGTTTTCATTTTTTTCTATAAATCACTTCAATTTAGTGGGGTCTGTAGAAAGAGCTTTTGTCCCTCATAGCCTACTGCTTTTACCAGGCTCAAAATATCTCTTAGCCAACCAAACAGAAGTACTGTGGCCAAGTAAATTGCCCCCCATCCTGCTGTTATGTCACTGTGTGTGACATCATGCAAAACCACCCACCACACGCCCTGTCCCCAGAATCATTTGTCCTTGCATCACCTTTTCCTCGCACTGTTGTATCAAAATATCCAAATTATTATAGCTTGCATGGATTACTGTAGTAGTTTGGTGTGAAAATCTAAGGGATTAGATGTTTATAGAGTATGAACAAGCATAAAGTAAAATTTTAAAAAAGTAATAAAGGCACCCAGCCTCAGGTCTTACAAGCTGCTTTATCAGTCCAAGTATTGCTCTATGATTAGAAAGAGATCCCAACAGCAATAGAGTATTTCTGTAGCACTTGTCAGGTAAAGTTAGTCTGCCCTAGTTTTCTCAGGAGTTTGTGGCACTTGGCATCTGTTTTCCCCCTTTCCTAGGCCTCTATTTTATGCTGTGTTGAAAACCCACGTTGATTTCACCACCCCTCTAAGAGAGGGGCAACTCTTTTTCACAGCATAGCAAGAGAGCCTCACAGAGCTCCTACTCCTGTGTACAGAACAAAGATGTGAAGAGTGGGCTCTTCCTGCCCCTCACACGTAGAACACAGCACACAATCACTGTTCTCTTTGCAGTTCTAATTACACCACGTTGACTAGATCACAACTGGCCTAGAAGCAGCAACTCACCAGTGGTTCACATCTAAGTTTGACAGCCTGCAGCTACAAGTTGTGAAAAACCTTGAGCCAAGAAGAAAGCAGCTTCAAAAAGGAGGTAAAAAAGCAAGCACATTCATTTCAAAGAGGGAAGCAAAGAAAAATTACCCGACTTGTATTCTTCAGGCTATTATGAGTCAAGATTTCAGTTTTCTAGACTTTATTTTGTAGTTCCTTACACTCAGGGGTGGAGAGCAGACCTCCTCTTCAGGTTTAGTTTGTTTCCTCCTCTTTTGCCAAGACATACCGAAGCAGCAAAGAATCTTATAGGTACAAGAAAGCTTCAAGAGACTGTTCTGTACTTAGAAAAGGTGTTTTATATACACTTCATACTTGGTTGATGTTCATTAAGTAAACACTGATCTGAAAGCTAACAGCTAATCTGTTTTCCTCTGCATTCAGCTCCATGTCAGTCGTTCATCTTCCCTTGTCTATGCCCTCTACTGAAACCCTTCTGAAAGCCGTGCTTACCTTCTTTGGGTAGGTTCCTCAGCCTTCTCCATAATTAGTTCTTGTACAGCCATGTCATTAACTTTTTAGAGATGTCACTATGAAACTGCTAAAACTTCATCTTTTCTTCAGTAATGACAAAGATTTCCCGAAGAGTCATCAGCTTCATAAAACAGAGCATCTTTTCCCAGGAGGAAAAGCAAGAAGCCCCCCCCTCACACCTCCCTGGACACACAGGGCAAAGACCAGGCCTCCAGCTCACCCCTAGAGAGCCTCACGTGAGCTGTGCAGGAAATGAGCTCATCTGACTGGTGATTCCCAGCCCTGAGAGAGCATCACCTGCTGCCAGGAGACTCCCTGTTAGCACCCAGGGGTGGAAGGATCTGTCACTTTACTTGATCTGACAGTTAGATAGGTGTCAATTGCTGAGGCCAGATGCAGATAAAAGGTGCTCACAGGGCACTCATCGATAGGGAACCTTAGAATTCTTGTTTAAACCCTAACAGCTGATTTGAATTCACTCAGACCTATCATGCTGTCTTTTTGACTTAGATTCTTCGTGTTATGAGGCTGATGGGAAAATTACTATTTATAACAAAACAATTATTCTTTATTTGTAATCACTATAAACTGTATGTTGTTGATAGGCTATATGTTTGCTTTTATCCCTTCTCTTTCACCAACTTTAGACTAAGGCCTGGCAGGTGCTATCAAAACAAAGACTGGTTTGCAGAAGGTTCAGGTGAATTACTGAAGACAGAGTCATGTGCCTGTGGCTGGATACTGACGTGACTGTGGTAGGGAGGAACTGGCAGGACTGGCTGCTTATAATGGGAGATGATATCTGGGTCATGAGAGAACATAAGCTTTGGGCTATTTCAGGAGCATAGAAGGAATTCATTAGGTGTGTGATGTTACACCACACTCCGCCCTACCTTTGTAAGAATTAGTGGAATTTGTTCAACATATCCTACTGTAGAACAGACTGGGAAAAGAGTAGTTACAGCAGGAGACTTACATCATGATATGCTGAAGATGATTACAGCATGGACAGTTTTCAAGAGCAAAGATCAGCTCATCTTCATCATGGCCTACTCTTCCATGTGGTGTCAGTACAATCTGGCTTCAGGACAGGTGGTGTTGCACTCTGACCTGCTTCAGCAGAGCTGCTCACCACCTCCTCTGTGACCCATGGCACTACTGTTTCTGTGGGGCCTATACATGTTATTTGTGACACTTGTTCAGTATAGTACAGAGAAAAGTCTTGCATGCCTCTGGAGCCTAGGGGTAGCCCAAAGACGCTCTGGAATTGTCTCCTCCTGCTCCTCCCAATATTTGCCCCTAAACTGCAATTTATATGGGTAGGACTGCAGACTAACACAAGAGCCTCTCTTGAGGCAAATGGCTGTTCTGAGGACAAAGAGGTGGCTCAGCACACCAGCAAAGCTGAACACATCAGAGCCTCATTAAATTGTGCTGCTTAAAATTAGGTGTGTGCCATATGGCTTTAGGTTTGTCCTATTCAGTAGGCTGTATGTTAGCTGAGAATAAGTAAGCATCATTAATCTCAGAATTTTTATTAACAAGTTTAGAGAAAGAACAAAAGTTATACTGATTTCAGTAAAACAAAGATCAATCCTCTTCAAATAGAAAAACTGCTAGGAATATGAACTCCTAGAAAATATTTTAAAGATCTTGAAATACTGAATTCTTCATCCTCTAGGATGGTTCCACATTACTGTAACTTAATGCTGCACATTAAAATACCCACATCACCAGTGAATATGGTTTCTTCAGCAACCTCACTGGTAATTAGTTGAAATACTGTACACTGTACATTTCCCTCCCCAAAAGCCCTCAGCAAATCACACTAGGCCTCGGTATTCACTGTTAGATTCTATATACAAGACTGAATATATTTAGAGAACAGTGCACCAAAGGAGAAGAGCTAAAAGCAGCCATTCATGAGCATGTCAGGGGTGTGCTCAGGATGGCCAGTTCCCACCTACCCGTGATGCAGTGCAAATGGCAGAAGCAGAAATCTGCAAAGCCACAACACAGCACCAGCCATGTCTCTGACCCTCTGCAGAAAAAGCTGTACTTAAAACCAGCTTCACCAGCACTGCATAATGCAAAGGTCAATCCAAAGGCTATCAATTCCACCTGCACAAACCTCATCACACAACTGCATAGGTATACAACATCTTCTGAGCCATTCTGGTATTCCCACTGCTCTGGTAAATGAGTGACAAGTTAAAGGCAGTATCTCTTCTCAAGTCCGTTTGATCCGTTTCTATTCCCTGTAAAAATAATGATTAAAAAAAGCTATCAATGTGCAAGTACAGTATAAAACTGAAACGTGTAGCTATTACAGTGGAATCAAATTACATATTCATGGCCAGTAAAAGCTTTCAGCTTTTTTTTTTTTCCAGTAAAAGCTTTTTTCAGCTTTTTTTCTGTATGGAAACAGAACAAGTATTCCTTGTGCTCTCCCTCTTTAAGGAGTTTCTACATCATATTGTTAATCACCAAAGTTATAAGATTTCACATTCAAAACATTAGCTGCAAGTTAAATAGCCAGCTTATAAACCAGCAAACTACTACCTTAATTTGTCTTTGTATACCAAGTATTTGTTTCTCCAATAAGAACGTGAATACTGCCTGCATCTTTTACAGGTCACAAGACTGCTGCTCTGAACTCCCAGGGCTAACACCCACAGTTCTTACTTTGCCAACACTGGCCATTTTCTAAACACACTTGCAATGTTTCTACCTACCCATTCCACAGACCAGACCTGTAAATGTATGACTTGTCAATTAGGATCCAATACAGATGAATTAGAATTAAGCTATGGCTCAGATGCAATTAGGCATTCCTAATACTGGTCCATCTTGTTCCAGCATACTGTTTTATAGCATGGGTGAGTATACAGAACTTCCAGTTATAATTCATTGCATGTAATATACAGAAAGGTGAGCTACTTAATCAGGAAAAGTTGTTTAGCAATCCTTTTTGCTGCTGCTTCAGCCTATGAGTAAATCCTTCAAAATTCATATATCTTTGAACTTTACACATTGTTGAATACATTATCAGGTGACAATCAGATTTGGGCTTCCAATGACAAGGAATTTAAATAGAAATTGAAGGAGGTGCAACTACAGAGGTTTTGTATACCTATTTTAACTATGACTAAGGAATTCTTGACATTTTCCTGACTTTATTCTCTGTCCATAACTTACAAAGTTACAGTACCTCTAAGGTGAGGGGAGGAAGTTCCAGTGCTCTTTGGTAATAGTGGATTGCCAGGTGCAGCAATCCCAGCTGGTGCAGACCACGGCCTAGGTTGTAGAAGGACTCCTGGCATGGTCCACGCAGGTCCAAGTAGCGGTGAAGGAAGGAGAATCCCTGTAAGAGAAATCGAGCACACAACTTTTTCCTCTCCTCCTGTGCATTTTATTTTGTTACCATTCTGGAGTGTGATGATTCTGTTGTAAACAGAGGACCTTCTTTCTAGGGACCATGTTGGTAATCAGAGAAGGTACTTCCTTCAATATGAGGAATTAGTTCAGACAAAGCAGCTAATGATCATAATTTAGGTCACCAGTAGGTCACTGTGGCTGAATTACTAATTAACTACCATAGCAGCAAGAAATGATGTAAAATCACTGAGTATAGTAAGCAGGAAATGAGAAGAGAGAGCAGGGAACTGTATTGCCAGGGGGTAACATAAATAGGACATTGTTCAAGAATGTTATAAAAGGAGAACAGGGCAGTCCCTGTAAAAAAGGCAAGCTGGTTTCAGAAAAAAAGTGGATAAAAATATTAAAATTAGGTCAAAGTTTGCAAGTTCAAAATGTCTTGAAGTTAGACACTGTCATAACTGGTTTTATGTTACAGCAGTTGGGGACCTGTAGCTTTTGTCAAGAACAGTGAAAGCTACAGCCTTCCAGCAATTTCAGAAGTCACAAGAGCTCAGGATCCTCACCATATTGTGCTGACTGAGCTCAGCAGCTACAGGAATTAAATGGTATTTCAAGTTCATGAAAATACTTAGTGTAAAGTAGAGGAAATTAATTTCAAGATTCTATTTGAGACTACTTAGTCCGTGGTTTATAACTGGATCTTGAAGATGAAAAGAAAAATGCAAATAAGGAAGCTGAAAATTTGAAGGTAGCTAAACTGAAGCTCATAAGGTCTTTACAAAAAGAGTGTATAGAGGCACCTAAAAGGGGAAAAGGAAGATGGGGGGAAAAAACACTTTCCAAGCCTGTAAGATTTGCCTCAAGAATGCAGTTTGAGACATATCTATGAAGGCACATGGCATAGACTCCACTCTACAGCAATGCAGGCCAAAAAAAAAAAAAAGAAAATTCAGATAACAACCAAGAAATTAGTAATATTTTCACAAACAGCTGGCAGCTGTTGACATCAAGGTGAGTAATAAGCTACCTCTACTCATAAGGAGAGGAGATTCAGATGGTGTAACTATAGTTCAAAAGCACATTCATCTGTGCTCATATTTTACCACTTCTCTCTTTAGAAATGCCATCTTAATGATGAAAAATTATTTAAACAGAGTGTGTTGTAGCCATAACCATCTGCAAGATACAAAGCCAGGAAACACTGTGGGTAACAAGAATTACACTGCCTCACCTGTACTAGAAGAGCATGCCTTTTCAGCACATACTTCTGAGAGGCCATGTGGATGAAAGTCAGACCAATACAGAGACTGTATAAAGGCTCATCTGGGTTTGCACGGAAGGCTTGCACATACTGCCCTAAAAGCAAATAAATGAATCGAGATGTTGGTTGTGAAAAGCATTCTTAAAGAAGTTAAGGGCAAGAAAGAATATACTTGAATTAGAAGTGTGAACTAAAAGGAACGGTTTAATATACCTACATCACAATACACAGGAGAAAAGAGGGAAGAAAACTGTGTATTTTCAGCATCCATTGGACTCTGAAGGAAGAATGCAGACTGTGATGTAAAAACGGAAGCAGAAAATGATCAGACACAGAAGGCAAACATGGTCCTTGCTGGGATTAAAATGTGGTATTTGGAGGACTTGACTGAAAGCAGCAGGTTTACTTTAAAGGCTTGCTTAAAACATGCAACCAGCTGTATTTGCTGTTTAAATTGGGCTGGTTCTGTCATTATTATCATCATTAGCCTCCAATTATCTTCACAAGTTAGTTATATTTGCAATGTGTGCTAAACTTGAAACGTGCCAGCTTAATTTTTATTAGCAAAACTCTTCAGCAATGCTTTGATTCGTGTACAGAATAATTAAAGCACCAGACTAGCATTGTGAACCTATAATTTTCTGATTTAAAGAAAAAAAAAAAAATCAATCTTTCTCTTTTTATAAACTTTCACTTGTTCTATTTGTTGATATTAGAACATGAAAGATGTTACCAAGAGCATGCTTGAAACTGCCAGACACGAAGGCATTGTGCCCATTGAGGACACACAGCACGTGATTGTCAGGATTTTTCAGCATCAGGCGGAGACAA